TGACGTTGCAACAGTGGGTTCATCCTTCACTACTTGCCCAAGCGCAACTTGTATCTTTTGTAAAGACTCCTTGGATGAGAATGTAGACCACGGAACCTGATTTACTCTGTTCGACAGACTATGGTGAAGAAGGGCCACCATCCTCTTGATTGATGCGAAAGAACCTGGAAGTCACGAGCCGAGGTAGCTGAGGAAGGCTTATCTTAACCTCGGACGCTGAGATCGTTAATTGCGTTCGCTACATAGCTCCGACGGCGACGCTACATAGCTATTCGTACTCCAAAAGTGTTGTTCAGCCCTCTGGTGAGTATGCCAATGTCATTTTCAACCGCCATTTTGGCCCGTCGAGACTGCGCGCCAGAAACCCAAAATGTGACTAATGATGGCGAGCGCCATTAATAACGGGCCAATCCTATCGAGAATCGTCGACGCCCGGAGCTACTATTAACCATGTTGCGTGGTGCTTAAGGAGCGCAAACTCGATGCGATGGCACCCACGCTGGTTCTTCGTCACATCGCGCAGTGCCATTTTTGCAAACCACAAGATCGCAAAATCAATTATTTGATGTGATGGCCAATCCAAAGCCAGGACAGCAGATCATTTCAACCAATCGCCATTTCGTAATTTCCGGTCGTGGCCATTAAGTACATTCGCTGGCAACGTGCAATGCGTTTGGCCAAGTACGAGCGGAGGCGCTTACTTGTAGCGCAGTAGACACAGCTGTAGCGTGCATTACGAGCGACTGCGTCGACCGCCCTTCAGCGAAGCGTCCACGGCCTCGCTGGCATGAGAACGACTTGGCGGCCTGCACGCGCGCTGCTCCTGCGTCGAAGCTACGAGCGATGCTACGATGCCCAGCACTTGCTGGCGCACCTCCAGAGCGATGTCCTCTGCCAGCACCGGCGTGCAGCGATGGCCATATCCATTCCAACGACCACAAATAGCATCTACGATATGAAGGCCTATCGCTGCATCAATAGTCCACGCAGCGTCTGCGCACATCTCGAACGGTCGATGCTCATTTACGCAGCGCCGAGCATGTGGCCAAAAGCTCAGCGGTCGTGTCTTGGATGACTCTATTTTGGGCTTCTGCTTCTGCCAGCAACCTTCTCGCACCACGCGCCAACGCGTCGGCGTGCGAGCCTATCGCATCAATTGCGAGTGCTTTTGTGAGCTTGAGCAGCGGCTTCGAGTATCTTGGGTGCACTGTAGCCTTGGTCAAGAGACTATCGTAGCACGCCTCGGTCATTTCAGCGCCTAGGCGACGGAGGAGGCTTTCCGCGCCGTCTCCAATCACGCAATCGTGTTAGCACAGCACCACCGGGAGTCGAGATTCAACATTGGAGTACTTTTGCAGAGGGCCTTAGCAACACGTTTAGTCCTAGAAAATGCTACATGTATTACAATTAGACACAATTAGACGCATTCTAGCGCTATGAGACAAATGGCACACAGCAGTGTCATTCCGGCAGCGGCAGCGTATGGCCATACCGACGGTCGATGAGAACGATATTGTCGCACGTCCGCATCCGACGATCGGTTGCAGCTTTGATTGTGTGGACGCACCATGTTTTGACGTCAAAGACGATCCACTGATTTTGATACCGAAC